AACATGCTCATTGTCAAACCTAAAAAAATGTTCGGACAATATCTTCTTTCAAAATTACGTTAAACTTTATAGAAAAATTTATCATAAAACTATAAAAGCCGCCAAAGACACCTATTATAACAACTGGTTCGCTAGAACCAAAAATATTGCCAAAGAAACGTGGTCTATTGTCATCGACTTGAGAAATAAGGCTATCTCGCTCGTCCATTATAACCTCTACCTCCCCTGAAACCTAAACAATTACTTTGTAAATGTGGCAAAAAATTTGATGACTAATATAGCTCCTACTCGCGATTCGCTTTCATATATTTCCAGTACCAATATGAATTTACACAGTTTCTTCCCAACACCCGTAGAAACACCAGAGCTTTGCAGCACAATTAAAGACATCAAAAACAAATTTTCATCTGGGACTGATGGACTCACTTTAAAAATGTTTTTCAATTTACCGAAACGTACATTAAATCTCCTCACTGTTTTATTAAATAAATCCTTTCAACAAGGAGTGTTCCCAGATACAAGAGTTTGCGGAACAGACAGACGGAGCTCCGTAATTCGTAATAAGTGCTAGTCTTTGTATGTATTTTAAACGAAACAGAGCAAATCGAAACTAACCCGTTCTCTTAATATCAGAAAACCCCTGTCCCATCCTTGCTTGGAACTTATTCACAACGTTTCCCGGTTTCCCTTATACGTTGTTTGTATGACCCTAGGGTCACTGACAAATACCATGAATGGCAAGCATTGGGCCGTTATACCGGCATACCAGAAGATATGGGAAGATGCTAAAGTTGGGGTTGCAGAGCGCGCAGCGCCTGTTCTGTGGCGCAAAAGTTAGTGAAAAACCCCACTACCATCCGTCGTGCGTATCCTAAATGCGCCACACCATGAATGTGAAATAAATCGTAGAAATCGAAGTAATAAACTGCGCAAAACGTTACCTTACCTAACCTATAACGATTTATTTGGCAACGGAGGGCATTTTAGCCAATCCTAAATAAACCCATTAGGATCGGTGCAACATTTTGGTGAATTTAGCCACACGCGGAATATCGTTCGGCATCTTTCGAAGCTCCGTCTGTCTTCTCCCCAGACTCTTTTTTTCCAGATTGCCTCAAAACGGCTATAATTATTCCTCTGCACAGGTGATAAGGACCAAGCGTCGAACTATCGTCCAATTGCACTGCTTTCCACTTTATTAAAAATTATTGAAAGATTGGTTAAGAAAAGGCTTCTATCATTTTTGCATAAATATAATATACTAACTATCCACCAATTTGGATTTTTACCCAACAACAGAGTGGAGTTCCACAGGGTTCCGTGTTTGGTCCAATATTATTTTTGCTGTTTATCAACGACATTGCTAGCTTAGATATCAGCGGTAAAATTTGTCTTTTTGCTGATGATGCTATAGTTTCACTTGGAGCAACCCGGATATTGTGGCTCTTCATAAAACCATGTCCAACGACTTGTTAGCCATTGAACCATAGTGCGATTCTAACCTTCTCTGCTTCAACGCTGCGAAAACTAAAGTTCTGTCATATGGAAGTACGTTGCAACCTATTATACTTAATAACACTACTACTATTGACGTCTTTGATTTCGTAAAGTTTCTGGGCCTCATTATAGACAACTCCCTGAAATGGAACAAGCACATCGATTCTTTATCAAAAAAATTAAGTTCTGCTTGCTTTGCGATAAGATCAGTTTCCAAGGAACTTAACTTCTAGAACAGTCTACTTTGCCCTTTTCGAATCACATCTTCGATACGCCCTTCCATTCTGGTGGTCGTGCTCTGCGAATCAATTTGAGCGTATCTTTAAATTACAAAAAAGGATTATTCGATATTTCCAAAATTTAAAAAATAGAGCCCATTGCCAAGATTTTTTCAAAAAATATAAAATACCAACACTCCCTTCCCTTTTCATACTAGAATCAGAATCAGTCTGCCCAATCCGCAAACACCTGCCCAGTATTTCAGAAAGGCCATTGCATAACTATCCACTAAGAAACGCGGAGCATCATCTTGATTTGCCAACTCCATCCTCCGAGTTAATTAAGAGCTCCATTCTATACAACGCAAAAAAAATGCATAATCATCTGCTAGTAGTAATCGAGTCCATAGCATCTCTTCCTGAATTCCGCATAGCTCTAAAATCGTATTTATCAGAGAGAGCCTATATGAAGTAAATTACATTTTTCTGACCTAATTTTGAGCGTTCCACACACGGGATCATTGTTTATAGGTAGTTTGTTCATTTTTATATTTGTTTATTTTCATATCATTCTACTTTGACTTTGTATAACAAGTAGATGTATATAATATTATATATTTTTAATTTTAAGGCTTTGTCGCTATAAATTATGTAATATATTTTTTTTTTGCGTAAGTATTGTTATTATAAAAAAGAAGCTTTATTCGGGTTCCTGCAATAACTGTTTTAGAACTGTCAGGAGTTTGCGCAGCTTAAAGTTTCTTGTTCGGGTGTTATCGAACTAATTCAGGACAGTTCTGGATTCAGAAGTTTGGCGTTAAGGTTAAAGTCAGAACTGTTCTGGGACATAACTGTCAGAATCGATCCCTGCTTTAGAGCAAGTAGTATTTGACTATTTTTTACACATGCGCATGTTGTATAACATGAGTCCTATCTTCAATTTTGACAGATGAGTACATGTTATGGTATCAAATTTGTTTGTTTTTTTTTATATTTTTGATTGATTTTAAAAAGGAAAACTAATTTATAAAAAAATATATATAGGGTTTTTTGAATTTGTGGACAGTCCGAGAACCGTCCTTGGCACGAAAACCAATGCGCATGCAATTATGCGCTATCAGCCGATCATTTGATAACTGTTCTAGAACGGTTCAAAAAATTGAACTCGAATTTAGTTTTCTCAAACTTCGAAATAGACCTTGGTAATTTAATGGGGCTATATTAAGAGTAAAACCTAAAACATTTAAAAAATTAGAAAACCATACGGCAAGATCTCCACTCAGTCACATATACCATGTATTTGATTAAGTATTAAGATATTCATCTTTGGTTGTTTAATTTTATCAATTATGTAAAACGGATAAACCGGTTAATAAGCAACTTAAAAAGATCATACCACATGACATTTAAACCTACATTTACAAACATTCTAGTTTGCAATAATACTTGCATTGTCTAATAAATAGCGAGAATACAGAGATAGGGCAGAATGAAAATGCTTTTAACGTCGATTGGGGAAGTTTAGGTACTTCGGTCGTAGAAATTGCATGTTCAAGATCGAGAACGACGTCATAAGAGTCGGTAAATTGTAATTTAATGTACCTGATTTACAACATCGCACCAGTGGCGCAGAACAATTATGATGTTTCTGAACAATGGAAGAACTTGACCGTGAAACAGCATGATTTTGAGAGTTGCTTGCCTTTTCAAGAATTCTTTTGTTTGGATATTAAGAGCTTCAAATACGTTAATGTTTTGTATTTTCTATATGATTGTTAATGCAATAGTCAAGATTCAGAAAAATTGTCTTCCAATATTTACTAGGTGAATGTTACTTCATTAATATTTATATAATTCCTCTTCGGTCTTTGAGGGACATACATTTATCTGGCAGAGGGGCTTGAAAACTTTTTTAATTTTCATTTGTTATGGGAAGTTAAAAAAACAAAATAATCTCGTCGTGACGACATCTTTTATGGGAGGTTTTCTCATTATCTTCGCAGGCACCCTGGTATATAATATAGTATAAAATCAATTTTGTAATACTTCACGTAACTACAGAGCAAAATGACGGAAGAGCAATATCATGTACCAAATTAAAATTGGAAATTCTTCACCGCAATCAGAATGGGTAATTTGATCGTCTGAAACACGAGAAGAAGAATTCATGTTTTTTTTTGACCGAAAAAGAAGAAACAAGAGTTGTTACACATGGTCGAACATTCACAAAGATGATTCGTTTTCAGTTTTATGTTAGGGCATATTTTTTCTAAATATTGAAAAAAAATGCTCCTACTACTGAATTATCTTATCTATGATAAGCATATTGTTACTATATTTTTAAACAGCGTGTTTCATTCACCTACTTAAGAGATGTACTACACGAGACGCGCTATCAAACACCTCCATATAAGGCCATATGGATTCACGATAGACAAGGTGAAAGCTGATAAAACGTTTTTGTTGTTATGTTCCGTTGGCCATTTTCAGCTCCACGACTAGACACTAGACAGGTGCAATCGTTTTTTTTTTTGTATTGGTGCATCAGTTTTTTTTTTCAAGGAATGGCTAGCTTAGAGGGACATCGTTGTGAGGGGTTATGGGAAACAATAATAGATAGTGTGTCAGTGTGCACATATTTAGAAAAACTGAATGATGGTTTAAGGTTTAAGCCAAATTTATTTTAAAAGTGTTCAAAGAAAATGTTGACAATATTTTACAATTTTCATTTCATTGAAAGTATTATTTTTAATCAAAATAAAGTCGGTCAATTATATACGAATTATTGACAGACCTATTATTGATATTGACGCGTTCCACTTTTGATCACTATACATACGTATAATAGCAATTTCTAGATACATATTAATATTATGATTATACCTATATATATATAGTATAGCTATTCCAAGGTTATGCCGCACGTAATTGGAGTATAGAACGGGGGCCCAGAACAGGTACAAATATAATATACATAATTGATATTATGAGCGAAAAAAATCGGGCGTGACTCGACCACTTACTGGTTTTTGCATTATGGAATGTTGACATCTATCTAAAGGTAATCGACTTAATTCAACGATTTGATCGACAACCGTCAAATTAAAAAGTTTCCACATTGTTTCTGTTGTTTGTTTTTTTTTTTAATTAGCTAAGCCTAAGCCAAGACCTTGATCAATATATTATGATTGCAGAATCAATTGTTTTTCATAAGATTGCCAGATTTAATTTTTATAACTTCACCCCAGTTATCCAAATATTAACAACATTCCTTCTTTATTTTAGGATGACACCGCAGAGTTTCATGATAGCTTGGATTCCAATAGAAATTCGAAAAGGTAAGACATTTAATTTGATTACATGAATAAATCATACCTTACGTGAAACCAAAATGGGAAATAGCAGATATCACCTTGTTGGTCTACATAATTCAAGTATTAAAACCCTGTTCCAAAATCGGTCAGACCAAGAACCAAATGATCAATTCCTGACCCTAGAAACCACCCATGTTTATGAAGATAACAAACTTTGCAGTCAGCAGCTGTATGACATAATGACGAGAGCAGAATAAATGGACAACACAATATGGAAAGAATCAAAAATTGAACATGAACTGGACAGTTAGATGGGTGGTACAAGAACATCAGAAGTCTGAAATTTGATTCGATAACTGAAAAAAAAAACATTCCACCCCTAGCTCTATTTTTTTATGGGCAACTTATGTGCAACAAATTTCGTAATACTATCTTAAGCGGTTTTAAAAATATTTGCATTGACCAAATTCACTTATCGCTTTTATCAAGCCGTAGTCAAGAAATGTCGTATTTAAACTGACTACAACAAAACTTTTATTTCAACTGCCCGTAACCTGAGGAAGTACCCGTTATTTATAGACGACATTATATTCGGGATATACAACCGATTTTTATTCCTAGAACAGACGACCTATTAGACGTAAAAAAAGAACTGGATTCTTAGAATCTGCTGGGATCTCGATGCAATTTCGTAACAATATTTTCCAATACCTACATAAATGATTCAGTGCAATTTACAAATTATTGTTGAGAAACTCATCGAAACGGAACTGTCGTTATTGGGTAAAATTTTAAATTGCTGCACTATATGTATGTATACTGACATGTATACAGTTTTATAAAAAAATAGAAAAAACGTAAAACAACTCGAAAAAGGCAGTCAAAACTACATGGGCATATAGAAGATAATAAATAGGTAATTTAGTTTCAAACTAAAGAAGCCATTCGTTACAAATTAATCATTAAAAATTTAAAAATCCGATAGGGAGTTTATAAGAAAAAAAAATCAATAACCCCCATATATCATGGTTATTCGTAAGGCGCTTGCCCCTTTAGACAGCATTAGTCACCCTATTTTGCATAATACCCTTCAAAGCTTTGCCACCCCACGGATAGATACATGGAGATGACAAGAGGGATGAACAATATATTCAATAGGGCTGTAACGTTGATGTACTGACCGTATTATTCAACTGTCAGGGTTGGATAAAACAAAACCTATTACACAAGGGGTTCTAAACAGAAAGGGTTGATTTATTGGATTCGGATTTTGACGAGGTGGATGTTGAATTTTATGCTAATTTTACAGAAGAGTGGATTAATAGATTGATTAAAATGTTAATTGATGTTGAAACAAGCATATCATTAAGTTGAAGAAAAAAAATCAGACATTATTTTATAATGCTTTTCAACATACACCTCAATGATTTTGCAAGTAAAAAAGCAGCGGTAGCTGACATTTAAACATGGGAAACGAACAATGTTGGGTATCAATTTGCTTCTTAATTACGTGTTTTTTTTTCTTTCTGGGAATTAAAGGTCAACACCTAGTAGATGATCATACGAACCTAAATTACGAACCAAAATTTTAAAAAATAAAAGACTTATACTAGACAAATAAAATTGATAGTTTTATTTGTTGGAGTATCGACACGCAACAAGTGAAGATCAAATAGTCGTTGGCCGACGATTAGTATCTTACTAATTATAGTAATTGGAGTGCTAGTAACCCTGAGTTGAACTCTCCATTGACACGATAATCTTAGGACATCTTTGATATTAATTGTTTTTGTATAAAATAGGAAACGGATGCTTGAATAAAAGGCTGAAAATGGTATTAACATTTGCATAAAGTAATTAAAAAGACCAGATGTCCATCGAAGATTACATTAGTTCACCTTGCATTACTGCTTCTAAATGCATTACATGATTCGGTTTTATCATTACATCACAAACAATCCAATAGCTCTATTATTAGATAAGGTCTGTGACACATTCTGTCAAACTGATCCTCATTATCTCTAACATTGATTTTCGCTTTACGCAAGAACATTGTACGGTGTACTCATTAAATTGTGGCAGCCGTCATTACCTAATGGCAAATTGAGCCCAAGTGACTCTTAAAATAAGACACACACAGACATACTGGCTGTTGTATGACGTAACAACGTTAAGTCCTGTTTGTAAATTGCACCAGCGAGTGTGGTTGTGTCGGTGGCCAGTGCCAGGGTCCGTTTCACTTCTGTCCGATAATTTATTTGCCTCGATTTGCACGATTGCTGAATTAATTTATATAAAAGGAGCAATGTCTGGTGGTAATTTTGTGATTTATGTTGTTGATTTTGATCGCTAGTTGAATTCTGTTGCCCAAAAATTTATTGTTATAGAGGTTAATGAACGACCTGCCTTGAATAAATACCATGTTAAGTAAAATCTCACTATTTTGATTCAATGTTGGAGAAGACTATACAATGATCCAGAAACATGGGGAAATAAATTAGGCAGCAGTAATCTGATTGGTATAAGATGGTCGAAGGAACTTTTTATATTTTCATTTGACATTTTCGATACAAAATATAAAGCAACTGAAGAATGTCATCTATTAGTATACACCCAACTAAAAAAAGTAACTAATCAATTATTTTCCTATGAATATGGGATTTTTCCTTCCAATGGCAAATCCACGACCAATTAAACTAGACGATGGCGTAGTTTTTTTTTCCGAGTTATGCGATTTTAATAATAATCGAAGTTGAAGCTAGAGGCCACCTGAAATCATGTGGATAAAACACGTTTTCCATCATCATTTTTCTGAAATTATGCCTAAAGGACTTTAGCGATGGGTGCTTTAGGGCCTAAGGCATTACATTATAGAATTCCTAGTATCCAAGACCATCCTGATAACACTCTTAATGTCAATATAGAGGTGTCCAGTTATTTTTCATGCGAGCGACATAGCTATGAATGTCAACTTCTCCAGAAGACAATAAAGATGGAACGGTTAAAACTATAAGAGTTGCAATTGCTTTTCCGCAATACTACTGATAGCCAAGACCAGCCATTGGTCTAATAGCTTTTCTCTGGAAGGCGATGGATGGGATAGAAGACATATGACCCGAGAATGGCGAACTAAACTGTCCCGAATACATGCGGCGTGAAACAGAGCTCAAGATACATACTCCTGGTTAAACCTCCGTCAACATCACCAAAATAGGTATCCCATTGATTATTTGGTCAAGAGTGACACTGCTACTGCTAGTCCCCAGAACACCATTCACTTTCATCTTCGCGGAAAATGGGTGGAGCAAAAAAGAGCTCAGCAAAAGCATTAACAAAGGAGATGGTGGTTTCATCGGCGAAGAATGTGCAACTGGGCAATTCTTCCCCAACCGTCAAGTCATTTATGAATTTCTTGAAAAGAATTGGTCCTGCCGATCGGGCCTTGTGGCGCACCAATGTGGACCCTCCTAACCGACAATGTCGCACCTCCTCAATCTTAACCATCTGACATCTTCGTCAATATAAAATTTCATTACATCAATACTATCTAGATGGAACTTGTTGATCCAGAGCTTCCGCAGAAGGATGTTGTGAGCGACGCAATCGAAGGCCTTACTCAATTCATAGAAGAGCTATCCTACTTTCAATAAAATGTTTACAAAATACTTGAAATAAGACTGAGGATGGTCATAACCGTTATGGAAGTCACATACATATCTCAAGTCCCTTGACTCCCTTGATATGATCGGCAGCAGCGATATGTGCCTGTGTTTTCAGAGAACTTGTGATCACCTCATTCAAAAGCTTCTCTCAAAACTTGGGAAAATATACTGAGTGACATAGAAATTGCAACACCCAGTAAATGTAAATATATTTTAATAATATTTTAGGAAGTAGTTAGGATAAATATGAATAACAATCGATGACATTTTCGAACAAATTTATTGAAAGGAATTCGTAAAAATTCAATAGTCAGTTGCGCCTCCACGTAAGTTTTGACATTCTGTAACTCTTCGTGGCATGCTGCGAATCAGATGAGCGATATCTGCTTGTGATAGGTTCTCCCAGGCTAATCTTTCCTCATGACGTAGACATTGTACATCCAGTAGAAGATGTGGCAACTGCCTCAGCCTTCTACATATCTCAGACATGTTTAATGGGCGATAAGTCTGATGACCTTGCGGGCCATGGAAGAGAAGTTACATTAGCTTGTTGGAGGAAGTTCCTAGTAACTGCAGCGGTATGTGGTCCCGCATTGTCTTGTTGAAAAATTGGATCTTGCAGTTGCTGAAGGTAGGGCAATGTAGAAGAGTCCGTCGCAGACGTGGAGAAAGGCATCAATTTCCATTTTGCATGGAGCGTGAGACTGCGTTTATTAGGAGCATTATGGCTTGGGGTGCCATAGCAGTGAAACAGGTCACCAGAAGTTTTTTTGGATTGAAACGTGAGCCCTCAATCCTACATTAATAACGTATTACAACCTGTCGCGTTGCCCTACCTTCAACAACTGCAAGATCCAATTTTTGAACAAGACAATGCGAGATCACATACCGCTGTAGCTACTAGAAGCTTCCTCCAACAAGTTAATGTAACCTTTCTTCCATGGCCCGCAAAGTTACCAGACTTACCGCCTATCGGACATGTATGGGTTGTGATAGGTAGAAGGCTGAGGGAGCTGCCACATCTTTCACTGGATGTACAACGTCTACGTCATGAGGTAAGATTAGTCTGGGAGAACCAACCACAGGCAGATATCGATCGTCTGATTCGCAGCATGCCACGAATAGTTACAGAATGTCAAAACTTATGTGGAGGCGCAACTCAATTAATTTGCTTGACAATGTCATGGATTGTTATTCATATTTATCCGAACTAGGTCCCAAAATATTAATAAAATATATTTACATTTACTGGGTGTTTCAATTTCTATGTCACACAGTATATTCAAATTTAATAATTTCGTCAGAGGTGTCCGAGCTAGGTACGGTTTTTATGGGATCACATTTGGGATATTTATGACTATA